GTTCTAATATTCTGAATCTAACTACTGTACTGCTTCTAATTCTAATATTCCAAATCTAACTACCCTTCCGAATCTAAGTACACTGCTACTAACTTGTTGATGTATTCATATAGAATAGTATTTATTGCTTTTTGGAATATAGCAGGTATGTTACATAATTCGAATAGCATGATGTTAAATATATATGTGCTATGCTTTGTTATAAATGTGGTTTTTTTTCTGTCTTTTAATTTCATCAGTATTTGCTAGTACCCACTGGCTAAGTCAAGACTGAAGAACCATTTAGCTTTTCCAAAAGTCTCCAGCATATTATTAATATGTAATAAAGGGTAAGTGTTTTTTTTAGTTATAGTATTTAATTTTCTATAATCGACGTATAGCCATAATTTACTATTTTTATTGGGGACTATGACTACAGGGAAAGTTTAGAGATTTTTAACTTTATAAATTAAACTATTTTCTAATAATTTTTTGATTTCTTTTTCTAGAAAGTTTTGTTTTTCAGATAAGATCCTATATACTAATTGTTTCATAGGCTTTGTGTTACTAGTATTGATTTTATATTATCTTCTATGGTTTGGCCCAGTTGATCTAGCCTAGTTGTAAACAAATCGCTAAACTGCCTCAAGAGATAAGTGGCCTTTTCTTTTTGTTCTTTATCTAATATCTTAACTTGTACTAATGCATTAATATTGTTTTCAAAAGTTGTGTTAGAGTTTTTTTCTTTTCTGGTAATTAGATATTTCTTCAATTGATGTTAAATATATAGCCAAGCTATACTTTTTAAGGGTTAATGTATAGTTCTTTATCATCATTAGATTTATTGATACAGTAACTTTTCACTTCCTTCATCTCTTCTTTCTTATAATTATCGAAGAAACCATTTTTTTCATTACTGAATTCAAAGGGCATTTCAGGCTGGTTCTCTTTTGTCTGATATATTGGTACCTCTATATATTTGCTTAGATACCAGAAGGACAGTTTCTTTTTATCAAAATAGAGTCAAGCATGTATCTTTTAGAACCAATCTATTTTTAGCAATATCATTTCTTTGTTATTTTCAATAACTTGAAAACTGGTAGGTATCATTATGTCTCTGATATACAATTTTAGATCTAGCAGTTTTCCTAACACTCTTTTCTTTGTGCCATTAGCAGTAACTACTACCATATTAGAAGGCTCTTTGATGGTAAGACCCAATTTATTAACTAATTTTTTGATAAAATACAAACAGCAGCTTCAGAATCTAGTATAGCTAATATGGGGTTGTTATGAACTCTAACATAATATTTTGCTGCTATAGGTCTATAATTTATTTGATTTTTAGCAATGCAAGATTCTTCTACTACCATAATTATGAGTTATTTTAATGCTTCAGCAAGATTACGTCTTTGTTTAGAGATCTGCAATATTTGAGTGTAGGTTGTATTAGCTTTTTGATTAAGTAGATCTTTGGCAATATTATATAGTGCAGCTAAATTAACAACAGAGAGCTCTTATCTTTATCTTGGTGGGTTGGTTACGATAGTTTGAGATATAACATTTCTTGTTGTTATTCTGAAACAACTTCCTCATCAGAATAGGCTGAATTGGTTGCTAAATCATTTGGTTTGGTTCGTAGCAACTCTTTTTCTTAATCTTTCATCCCAATTAGATTTATTTTCAGATTTTTCTTAACTCTTAATAGCATACAACTCTTCCCTTATGTTCCAAGTATAAATGTCATATAGATTAATATTTCTTGGCTATAACATGTTGTTATTCGAATTCACAGAAGATTTTCCAATATTTTGGCGTCATTCAGCAACTTCTTTCTCTACAATTATAGTACTCAATACCACTGTTTGGGGTCTGCCAGGCTGAGATAGTCTATTTTGTTTAGAACAGGGGATTGATTTCAACTCTGGCTACCAATATAATAGTTAATTTTTTATAATTTGCAGCTATTTGATATATTTTGTATATCAATACTTTGATAAGTTGGTTAGTAGGGTCTTCTCTTTTTCTTTTTTTATAGTATTCTCTGGCTTCTATTTTTCTAGCATTCTCAATAGTGTCATTAAGGGTTTTTGATTTGGCGATAGATATAAAGGCAGCGATTTTATCTTTTAGACCATCAATAAATATTCTGACCACATAGATGAGTGATAATTTATTTTCTGGGTTGACTCTTTTTTATAACCTTTTAAATTTATATGCATAAAGATTAACTTTTTCATTTTCTTGCTGAGTTAATAAATTTAGATCTATTTATCATCTATGACGTCTTTCTGATGTCACAAAATATTTAACAAATTCAGGAGCAAAGCTGGCTTCGGGCTTGTCTTTATTATCCTAATATTGGAGATCATCTTTATGATCACTATACTAGTTGGCTGCAATTCCGAAGAGATATCCTGAGGCAATAGCAATTCTTTTAGATTTAGACCAATTATTCGTATTAATAGTTCTTTCAAATGCTTCGATTTATTCTACAGGATCTTTGTCTTTAGTATTATAAAACATTTTAACTTAAACCTAATTGGTCTCACAGCCCTGATGTTAATTTTTAAAACTATCTTCTTGAACTACTTCTGTGGTAGCATTTTTGAATGCCTTGACAATATTTCTTAAGATAAGTTAAATACTCTTCTGGTGATTTGATGGTGAATAAGCACTAGTAGGGCTCTGGTTTTCAAAATTAAAAAGGTCTTGAGAAATTTTCAAAGAATCACTAGGGGTGTTTGAGCATAACAAATATTTGATTTGATTGGTTAAAAAAATGTAAACAAATAAACAATATGCATAATATAGATCATTATATAAATCTAAATATAGCTACTTAATTAGAGTTTTACTGTGACTTCACTAGTATAATCACTAAAGATTTTGGTTTTTTTTTGGTATTATTGCTTGCAGAATCTTGAAGCTTTCATTGTTTTAGTATCACCCTTGAAAATTTGAACTTTCATTATTGAAAATTTTAAATTTAGTTGTGTTCAGAATCTTTGCTATCTTAATTAGAACTGTGAACATAGTACAGTAGTTAGAACTAGACATAATATAATATAAACTAGTATAATAGTTAGATTCAAATATTAGAACTAGACACAGCACGATAGTTAGAATTAGACATAGCATAGTAATTAGATCCAGGATATTAGACCTAGATATAGCATGGTAGTTAGAACTAGACATTGCACAATTATTAGAATTATTTAGAACTAGATATAGTACAGTAATTAAAACTAGATATAGCATAGTAGATATAGTATAGTATTAGAACTAGATATAGTATAGTAGTTAGAACTGGATATAGCATAGTCGATATAGCATGGTAGTTAAAGCTAGACATAGAATGATAGTTAAAACTAGGCATAGCACTGTAGTTAGAACTAGATATAGCATGTAGTTAAAATTAAATATAGTATAATAGTTAAAACTTGACATAGCATAGGTAGTTAGAACTGAACATAGTAGTTAGATTCTAACTGGATATAATATGATAATTAGAGATATTATAGTACAGTAGTTAGATTCGAGGCATTAGAATTAGATTTAATATAGTAATTAGATTTGGAATATTAAAACTAGATATAGCACGATAGTTAGATTTTGGATATTAGAATTAGATATAGTATAGTAATTAGATTCAAAATATTAGAACTATATAGCATAATAGTTAGATTTAGAATATTAGAATTAGTAGTAATTAGATTCAGAATATTAGAACTAGATATCAGGATATTAAAATTGGATATAATTTAGTATAATAGTTAAAATTAGAATATTATAACTAGATGTAGCATGGTAATTAGATTCGGAAGGGTAGTTAGATTTGGAATATTAGAATTAGAAGCAGTACAGTAGTTAGATTCAGAATATTAGAAC